TACTTTGTAGAGGAATTTGCAGAGCTGCTCGAAGAGGTTTGCGCACTGGAGATCGCAGTCGTAGTTGAGGAAGAGGTCGATCATGAAATCGGGCTCCGCGCAGAACTCCACCAGGCACTCGAGAGCCAATTCCTGCTTCTCGTAGCTCGACGCCTTGCTCTCCATGACACTGGCACCGCACACGCACACGCACACGCACACCAAAACCGGAGAAAGAAAGCACGGCGTTCGTCAACCAGGGGTACCGAAGGAGGCCTCGACGTGGAAGAAGGCCACGGTACCTGTTGAGGAGGCACAGGAAGAAGGCCTCCATCTGCAGCTTGAGGGACGCCTTGTAGGAAACGAAGAGGTGGTAGAAGGTCCGCAGCGTGAGGGTGAAGATCGTCAAATCGCTCGTCATCAGGTTCTGCGCGAGTGTGAGCTGTCAGCTACGACAGAGGGCCAGTTGTTGGGGGTAAGGCCTTGGAGCAAGGGGGGAGGGGTTCGTGCCAGCATGAGGTGCCTGCAGAGCTCGTCCTGGATGGTGGGCAGGAGTCCGGGGAAGAGCGCCTCGGGGGGCTGGGTCTCGAGGATGATGTTGACCAGGCTCAGCCCGAGCAGCCGAATGGGCTCCGAATTGGCTCGCGTGGGTTGGATGAGCGAGCAGATGAAGCCGAACAGCTTCACCATGCACGGCACGCCGTAGGGCTTATGCGTCGGCACTGTGTTGTGTGCGTGCGTGTGTCGTGTGTGTCAGTCAAATGAGCAAAAAGACACACACTCGAGCGCGTGACAAGAGTAGCGCCGGACCTTGAGATTTGCCGCTCTCCTCGCCCGAGGCTGTGGGACGGAAGCGAACGCCGCGCGGGTTTATGTACTCCTTGCCTCCTTCTCCCGCGTCTTCCGGGGACTCGCCGGTACTCCCGTCGGGTGCGCCGGCGGAGGGGGAGGCCGACGGGCGCGCCGGCCCCTGGTCCGGCGAGGGGAGCACGGCCTCGGGCGGGCGCGAGGTGGGTGTGAAGTAGCTGGCGCTGTTGAGGAACACCGTATGCACCATCTCCACCAGCGTACGCTCCGCCCGCTTGCGCAGCAGTTCTTTTTGGTTTTGGTTGTGTTTTTATCCGCGGATCGGATCGGAGTGAATCGGATTTGGGGGGGGGGGGGGTTAGCGCGACGTGGGGTGTTGCGACAGTTGTAGAAATAGAAATGGAAAAAGTAGATGGGAGTGGTACCGCTCATGCGAGTTTGCACGCTCATGCGGAAGCAGGTCTGGATCATCTCCATCACCATGTCGTCGCTCAACAGGAAGCCGGCGGGACATTTGAGGCACATCAGCAGCACCTACACCGCCAACGCAACACGATCCCATGCAGGGGCGCACTCACGCGTAAGCCGCCGCCGCCGCCGCCGCACGGCAAAAGAAAGAGGGCGGGGAGGGAGAGAAGAGGGATGCGTCGCACATCGAGGATGGTGGCCAGCACGACCTCGTCTGAGTCGGGAGCCGTGGCCTCGAAGCGACAATGGGTGACGATGTCGGTGATGGTGCTCATCGCCTTGGCCGCACTGGGCGTGCCCTCGTCTATTTGGAGATTGGCGCGTGAGCGTGGGAAGTGGGAGGCCAGCGTCGATCGATTGCTCATCATTCACCCAGATGCATACGCCGCGAAGAGCGACAAAGAGGGCGCGTGTGCGTGTGCGCGTGTGCGTGTGAGTGTGCGCGTGTGCGTACGTATGAAGCCGTAGGAGAGGAACTTGTTGACGGAGGAGAGTGCCACACCGGTGATCGGACCGCTGGTCTCCTCCGATCGGATGACGCCCAGGAAGGGCTTCAGGTATGCGAGCGGTTCCAGGGCGGCAAGGTCTGAAGCGAAGCGAAGCGAAACACGCCAGCACGAACCGGCATCATCGTGAGAGAGAACCAACAACGGGACTGCGGAGAGCAGAGGAGCAGGATAAAGAAACGCTTTGTACCGTGGGTGGTTGAGAGTGTGGCACGAAGCGTTTTGAAGCCTTGGAGGAGAGGGCTCTCGGGTTGGGAAACCTGCACAAGATATGGTGGGTGTGACACAAAAGGCGCTACGAGATTGGGGGGTGGGGGGCACAGTCCGAGTGGGAGATGGAATGATACCAGGCGAGGCCCTGAGCCCCATCGACTGTTCAAGCGCATGGCAGCCACCACATTTTCGATTTCACCAATCACGATGTGCACTGCTGCCTTGCCCAAGTGCCATGAATGCTGCTGGGCGCCAGAGGGATATGATGGGAGGGGCTCTTCCATTTCGCCGCAATGGAGTCCACAACTACCTGACGCAGAAGGCGGGCAGAGAGAATCAATCGACACGCAGATGTCGTGTCCCCTGCTTGTTGAGTCCTTGCCGACGTCGACTTGGCCACGTCCAGCTACGGCATTTCCTTTTGTGATTTCTCTTGTAATAAAGCGGGAAAAGGAAAAAGAAATTCAGCGACCAACAATCGCCCTTACTCATCCTCTCGATCGCCGCACGCCATCCGCTGAGAGAGACCGGTCAACAATAACTTGAAGAGATGATGCGCAGATCGATGGCAGCTGGATTGCCCTTGGTCGCTGTTCCTTGGGGCGCCCACGTTGCGTGGCGTACCACTACCTCCGCCAAGGGGGCTTTGCTGGTCGGGTTCGTTGCAGGCACTGCCATCCCTGCTGGCTCCGCCATGACGGTACGCGCACGCGCACGCCCTCCCCCCCCAGCTCTCTTTCAGCCCGACGCCAGGCCCACCGCGGTGCAGAAAATAACAATTTGTAAAACCAAAACTAGAGAGTGGCGAGAGTCGTCGGCGGCCAGAGGCGACACTACGCACAGATGGGCGCTCAGTTTGCGCCAGGACCCAAGAGCTTCTCGGAGATGCGGTCGGCAGCGGTGTCCATCAAGCGCCGCTACATGCGGCTGGCCGTGTATCTCTCCGTGGGCTTCTTCTTCGTTGTCTTTCCGGTGTCGACCCTGGCCGCGCAAGCCTGGGAGCAGCGCAACTGGCCCACCCTCCAGGCCAAGATCGTCGAAGTCGTCCCGATTGAGGGCACCAACAAACGGGTGCGCACCGCGCCTTTGTTTAGTGGGACTGTGGAGTGCATTGTCAGCTGACGTCGAGCGGCACACGTGTGGGGTGAACCTCCGTGGGTGGTGTGGCCTGCGCGACTTGTGTGTGTGTGCGCGCGCGCGCGCTCGTTGGTCGCAGAGGGTCACGTACAGGTACAAGGTGCTCGGTAGAGTCATCGAGAAGACTCAGGTCAACTGGAATGTGCCCTGGTGGGATCGGATCAACAACACGCAGCTTGACTTCAAGGTGGGCGACTTTGTCACAATCTACCACCACCCTCACAACGTGATGCTCAGCATCTTCAAGCCCGGTACTACGCCTCCCTTCTTTTGAGCCTGATGAGGCGCAAGCTAACCAATCTCTGCGTACTGTGAAGGCAACTTCGCACACCCTAACTTCGGACGGCTCAAGGGAGAGGTCATCGAAGACACGACCAAGCCGGCTCGGCGCACGCTTCCCCAAGTGGGACCACACTAGTGACTGTTCCGCACGTGTGTGTACGCGCGCGTGGCCTCTGGGTGCGCGACGGCTGGCTGGGGAACTGTGCGAGCAGCAAGTTTCAATAAAGATTTTTTAATGTTATTTATTTCTGTCGACACACACTGCCTAGAATAATCCAGGGACGACGGATTTTGCTCTTTCTTTCTTCTCTTCGCGGAGCCATCAGTATCCCCCGCCCCCTTCTTCTTTCTCTTCTATCGATCACCATGGGCAGAGGCATCTACGGCAGGGAACCCGAAAACCCCACTAAGGGTACGTTGCGCTACGAAGCTTCTCGAACATGCCCTTGGATGGTTAATCAAGATTACATGCGTGGGCTTCGCTTACCCCTGGCGTGATTTCTTTCTATTTAGCCGCTAAGGCTAGGGGCTCCGACCTCCGTGTTCACTTCAAGAACACCAGGGAGACGGCTGCCGCCATCCAGGGTCTTGGCTACAGGAAGGCCGTCCAGTTCCTCGAGGATGTCGTCAAGCACAAGCAGGCCGTGCCTTTCAGGAGGTACAACGGCGGCGTTGGCAGGCACGCTCAGGCCAAGCAGCACCACCTTTCCACCCAGGCCCGTTGGCCCAAGAAGTCCGCTGAGTTCATTCTTGGCCTCTTGAAGAACGCCGAGAGCAACGCTGAGGTAACACTCCCCGAATTGCTGGTCCAATCGTTTCAACGGAGTAATGTGATTTTTTTCCTGCTGCATTGGGCTCATCACTCTTCCCATCTCCAGGTCAAGGGTCTTGATGTGGACGCCCTCTACGTTTCGTGGGTTCAGGTCAACAAGGCCCAGAAGCAGAGGAGGAGGACCTACCGTGCCCACGGTAGGATCAACCCCTACATGTCCAACCCCTGCCACATCGAGGTCATCCTTACCGAGAAGGCGACGCACGTCCAGAAGCCCAAGAGCGACAAGAAGAAGGCCGACACCACGGAGTCCGCCTAAGCGTGGAGGGTTCGATGTCCAGATCAAATAAATACTCAAAAACAAACTCTTTCTCGCATCCTTGGCTTCCCGCTCCTCACGCCCTCCCTTACACGCAGCTCGGACACACTGTTTTGGGAAACGCAACTCTGTTATCATGATGTGGAGCAGCGCTACATGGGTGAAAGCGATGCTGCGGGCTGGCAGCGGATGACCTGTAGCCACTCTTCCACGTTCTTCCCCTTCACCCGCACGAACGGCGCCGAGAACTGACCTGGCTGCTCCCACCTGTCGGCCGAGAGCGATTAGCACCGACCCGTGGCCGAGGGACCATCATCGCTGCTGAGTTTTCCGGTGTGGCGTGGCGTACCAGTGCTGGATGTACTGGTGCACAGCCGGCACTTGCTTCAGGGCACCACGCGCGTTGCCTTCGCACCCGTCTAGCGCTGGTATCCACACCTCCTCTTGGATCTTCCGTTGAGCGGCCAGCACCTTGCTCACCTCTGTTTGGGAAGCGCAGCACGACGATCACAAGAAGTGTGCACTTGTCAGCCTCGGCTCCGTAGTGTCAGCCATCGGCGTTAACACGCACATACCCTTCAGCGTGGCCGCCCTCTTCTTGCTCTGCCTGGCCAGGGCTTCCTCTCCCTCCTTCTCGCCCATGCCACTGAGCTGGGTCCAATGTTGAGCCTTGACCACCTCCGCACGTTCGCTGTACTTCATGTCGGCGGCGCGAGGCAAGAGGCTGCTCGGCGCACTGTAGGCGGGCACCGAAAGCGCTCCGAGGAGAGAGGCGTCCCTGCGCGACAAGGATCACAGGAAGGTGAGCAATGGCGCCTGGCCGATTCCAAGTAATAAGCGCAAAAACAAGAGAGAGAGAGAGAAGCTGGGTACCACGTCGGGTAGAACGGGATCGGAGCGAGTGGAAGGGCGGGCACGGGCTCGAGGCAGCGCCGCAGGGAGCGCACAGCCTCCGGTAGCGGATAGCGGAAGGCCTTGAGCGTTTGGCGAACGACGAGCTTCGTTTTGGTCTGCGAAGGAGGAATACCACTTGGTAATCCTCCGTCCAAGCACGGGGGGAAATGCCGGAGGTGGGGGGGAGGTCGGTCGCCGAACCTGTTCGCCCGGAAGCAGGGCTCGTTCCCTGGCGACACGTGCGGCCAGCCAGGCCACGGACTTCTGCTTGTCCCGGTGCTCCACGTCGAACCGGCGGATCTCGGCCACCTTGGTCTGCAGGGGCGCCAGCTGGCGCTGGTGCGCCTCCTTGACCAGCTCCATCTTCCGGATGTAGTCGCCGAGGGTCTTGAGCGCCAGTTTGACGCCCTCAAGCTCCACCTCGGCATCTCGAAGGCGTCGGGCTCCGCTGTCGAGGTCGTGCGCCAGAGGCGGCTGCGGCTGCTGCTGCAGGAGCGATTCGCAGAGGAGGCGGGTGGCGCGCGCCTCATTCACGACGGCCTGCGTCTCGACGAAGCGGAGTTCTTGCGCCTCCAGCCCCAGCTTGATGCGCCAGCGCACCTCCCCGTAGTCATAGGCGTCGGCGAACATGTCGGACTGCGGCGGCCAACGCAGCGAGTCAGTCCACACATAGTCCCGACGGGGCACTTTTTGTAAAAAGGTGACGTGGCCACGAAGAGCACGGGTGGCGTGGCGGTACCTCCTCGAGCAAGGCGAGATCCTGCGCGGCTATGGCGGCAATACAGCGCAGCGCTTCGCCGCCGTCGAGGCAGCCCAGGTTGCGCGCGTGCCGTTGCAGGGCGAGCGCATCGGGCTGGCGCAGGTCGCCGGATTCGAGGGCCTGCGCAATGTCTCCCCGCATACCTTCCCACGCTTCTCGGACTCGCATCTGCTCAAAACGCAACAGAAGCAACCCGGTGTTGTTGTTAATTGCTGCAAGTGAGCCAACGCCAAGTGAGTGATCTTTGCTGATCGCGCGCGCTCAAGGCCCGACGATCACGCACCAGCGACCCGGTCTGCAACGACATGCCGCTGTTCGCAGCTTTGGTTCCATAGGTGGTTGTGCTCGAATGCTCCCTGCGCGCGAAGACAACCGCCAACAATGGAGTTGAGACGACCATGCGGAAGAAGAAAGGCGAGCAAACGAGCGTAATACCCCTCATCTGACTGAGCAGGGCCGTTGAGGGCTTGGCTGAGCCTGGTGATGTACTCCTTGACCACCAGCGTGTCGGTGAGCGTCTTCTGGTCGAGGGCAGCCAACGCAAGCGCTCGCTTTTCCATCGCCTCGACCCGATTCTTTTGCTCGCGCATCTGTTTGTCTGGCAGGTGGCGTGGGCGTGGATGATGGCGTGGAGCGAATGGAATTAACACGCCAGGTTGGGCTTCGCGGCTGAATGTGGTGAAGAGGGGGCGGCGATGAGAGTACCATTCTGCACCAGCCCTTGCTTGAGGGCATGCACCTCCTTCTCCACGCTCTCTAGCTTAGCGCGCACAGCGCTCAGTGACGACGAAACGGTCTTCCGTTGTGCCTTGAGCTTCTTCAGTTCTTGTTCTCGCGCTGCCGCTCGCGCGAGCTTCTTCTTGTTGTGTTGGCTGGAAGCCAAAAAAACGGGTTGGAATGAGAATGCAAGGTCCTTGCCAGACAGAGAATGCTGTGGTGTCATGGCGCTGGCTTTCCACATGGTTTGTTGCAGGGGGAGGAGGGTAGTACAGGAGAATGTTGGCTCGCACGTCGGCCACGTTCTCTGGTGAACGTACGCGCTCGAGGAAAAACGCCCACACCGAAAGCTGATGATTTGCGTCGAGAGGCACTTCAAAATCGGAGGGTGGCGGTTGATTTTCATTCAGTACAGGTGGCGTGTACCATGTTGCCTCGGCATAGAATCTTCAGCTCCTCTTTGTTGGGGCAGGCGGTGGGCAAGTTGTCCTTGGAAGAGGAGAGCCCAAGTTCATCTCTCGACCATGCCGCAAGGCGCTTGGCTAGCTCTTCCCGATTGCCACTCATCTCGTCAATTTACTTGAGTTGCTCGAGGCCTTTTCGGTGTGGAGGTGTTTGTGTTGCCTGGTCTTCCCGCCAAAAAGTGGCCGGCAAAAAATAAAACAAAAGAAATCAAAATAAAACAAAATGAAAGGTGTCCGCCACGTCCCACAGCACAAAGAATTCGCCCAGAGAAGATGGAAGGCCGCAGATTGCGCTCACGGCGAACCTTCCTCACACTCGTGCTCCTGTTCTGCGCCCTTTCTCCATTCGTGGTGAGGGCTGATGAAGATAACTACGAATACAAGGATGGCGAGGTGATCCCCTTCTTGGTAAACACGATCGGCCCCTACGCCAATCCCTCGGAAATCTATGGCTACTACTCTCTTCCCGTGTGCGCTCCACCCAAGGAGCAGCGCTCTCCTGACCGAACCTTCAACTTGGGCGAGAGCCTCGAAGGTGATGAATTCAAAAAGTCTCTCTACGTGCTCAAATTCAAAGGTTCGTCCAGATACTGCGTCTCCTTGGCCTTGTGGCCTCACGACTAATCCGTTCTTGCATCCCACCCAATCAGTGGAGGAGAAGGATAAGCCCCTGTGCAGCAAGCAATTCACCGTCGAAGAGGTGACCCGCCTCAAGAAGGCCATCGAGGAATACTACTACTTCGAATTGCTTTGCGGTTCGTCCATCTCAAGCGATTTCTGTTCTTGTTGCCACAATCTCTGTCTCATCAATGGCGTGATCCTGCCACAGATGACCTGCCTGTTCACGGCTTTATCGGCACTGTGGACGGAGACAAGCACTACCTCTTCACGCACGTCCAGTTCAACGTCCTCTATAACAAGAATCAGGTACGGCCCGAGCTTCATCCTTTTATTGTTCCATCTTTTCTTCTTTCGTCCCTCAGCACCAGTCACCGTGACTGACCGCGCTACTTAGTCTAACACCGGAAACGTGCTGGCATCGGCGTCGTGTCGTCGTTGTTGTTGTTGCAATACGGACAGGTCATCGCGGTAAACGTGACGTCCGACCTGCGCAAGGTGGTAGAGCTGAACGAGCTGACGCCCAACGAGCAGTCGGTGCATTTCACCTACGCCGTCAAGTGGCACGAGACCGACACGCCCTTCGAGGACCGTGTCTACCTGCCCTCGCTCTTCTTCAACTCGGAGATGGAGATCCACTGGCTGTCGATCATGAACTCGTTCGTGCTGGTGATCCTCCTCACCGGCTTCCTCTCGATCATCATCATGCGCGTCCTCAAGAGCGACTACTCGCGCTACAACGAGGAGGAGGCCGACGAAGAGGACTACGGCTGGAAGCTGGTGCACGGCGACGTCTTCCGCTTCCCTCCCGCCAAGAACCTCTTCTGCGCCATGGTGGGCACCGGCGCCCAGTTCCTCTGTATCGCCGCCGGCCTGCTCCTCCTGGCCCTCGTGGGCATGTTCTACCCCGGCTCCCACGGCTCGCTCTACACCGCCACCATCGTCCTCTACGCCCTCACCTCCGCCGTCGCCGGCGGTGTTTCCGCCCGCCTCTTCCGACAGATGCAGGGCCAAAAGTGGTCGTGGAACATTCTTCTCTGCGCGTCTCTCTTCGCCGTTCCTTTCCTCTCCGTGTTCACCTTCGTGAACAGCACGGCGCTTTCGTATGGCACCACGACTGCCATCTCCTTCTGGGCCGTGGTCACCGTGTGCCTCATCTGGGTCTTTGGTATGTATTTCTTTCTATTTTATTTCTTTCTCTTTCTAGATACGACGAATATATATATTATATATATTATATATTGATACTACGAATAGCTCCCGCCTGCGTTCCTATTCATTCCACACTTGACATCGTGGTGCCACAATCTCACACCTCCTCTTCATGTGCAGTGGGCCTGCCCCTGACCGTCTTTGGCGGCATTGCCGGAAGGAGGCTCGGCGCCACCGAGTTCGCTGCCCCGTGCCGCACCAAGATGGCCCCGAGGTAGGCACACCTCAGCTGCCCACTTGCCCTTCTTCTCCTTCCCCTCTTTACTCATTATCGATGGTGTTCTCGTCTCTCCAGGCAAATTCCCTCCATTCCGTGGTATAGGCAAGCTCCCGTGCAGATGATCATGGCCGGTTTCCTTCCGTTCTCGGCCATCTACATCGGTTGCCCATCCCCTCTTTTGTTCTGCTGCTGGTCTCTCGTGTGATGGTGGGGTAGCGCGGTAAGTACTAACCGCGCGTCGACGGTGTGATGCAGAGCTGTACTACATCTACACGTCCGTGTGGGGCCACAACTCCTACACGCTCTGGGGAATTCTCGCTCTCGTCTTCCTGATTCTCATCGTCGTGACGGCGTGCATCACCATCGCCCTCACCTACTTCCAGCTGTCCATGGAGGACTACAGGTGGTGGTGGCGCTCTTTCGCCAGCGGCGGATCGACTGGCGTCTTCATCTTTGTCCACTCCTTCTTCTACTACGCCTACAGGTATGTAGTCGTCGTATTCCCTGCCTGATCTTCTACATCGCCTCTCCACGTGTGAATAACCCTTCACGCCACCGCCACTACCAGGTCGAAGATGCACGGTTTCTTGCAGCTGTCGTTCTACTTTGGCTACATGTCTCTGGTCTCGTGGTTCTTCTTCGTGATGCTTGGCACCGTGGGCTGGTGGTCGGCCCTCGTCTTCGTGAGGAACATCTACAGGAACATCCACGTCGACTAAGTGTCGCACACAAACCCGCCCTTTCTTTCTTTTTCGTGTCCACAACGTGCACCAACCTTTCACACGCACCCTTTGTGAGGTAGACCTGTGCTTTCCACTTTGTTTGGTGCCCTGAAATTTGCATGACTGTTGGTATTTTCCATTTGATCTTGATTTCAAATCAACAACCAAGATGGACACAAGGCGGACTGTGCCACATGGCCTGCAACACAACATGAGAATCGTTCTACCTCAGATTGAGAATGAGGAAGAGTTAAAGATGAAAAAGGAAGATGAATTCCAAAGAGCTGATTTCCTTGCAATCTTGCCAGAAGGCATGGAGGTGCACCTTGCCATCTTGTTTTTGAATTGTGTTGTTTGTTCTGACATTTGTGCAGTTGTTTTGGCTGTGTCAAGTTGAGGAGGTACCTGGAGACCAAGCCAGTGACATCCTTGTGCAGTGGCTCCAGTTGCTTGGTACACCCTCCCTTCTCCCCAATCCGGATCTCTTGCACCTTACGCCAGTGAACACGACAACAGAGAATCAATACCTGCTTTATGAATGCACAAACGACTTCGACAGGATCTCCAGAGCCTCTGTTCTCTGCAAGGTCTCACCCACCGAAACTGAAGATGGCTTCTTGTACGTGCTCCCTTGCTTGGCGTGCGTAATTTCTGTGGTGCGTGTTTGGCAGTCAAGTGACTTTGTCCTCCCCAAAGCCAACTATCGCCCGAGGAGCGCAGGGCGATCGCCAAGCTCAGTGAGAACGCACACGCCCGGCCCAATGTTAAAACCCTGGGCGAGGCTTTCCACGTGGAGAAGGTGTGGGACGCCAAGGGCAACTGCGTCGGAGAAAAACACTTCTTCTCAGCCGTTGACAAGGACGACGAGGTCTACACGGTCAACGACTGCGTGAAGGTACGTCCAGCTTGCACGTTGCTGCGCCAACACTCTCTTACGAACAGGCGCGACAATGACCACGACCAACTACACCAGATCCGAAGCACACGCCATCGGCAAACGGTGACGGACATCGCGCGCCTGGTGGGCATTTTCTTCGACACTGCCGGTACCAAACGCACTTACCACTCTGCCACACGCACCACGTCACTACCGCACGCGTGCAAAGGCTTACCCCTGCACGGTGGCTGGCTTCTCAGACCAGACGACCAAGGTGCGGCTTCAGTGGTTTTACGAGCAAGCAGATGCAGAGCTGCAGGAGCCGTGGACGGTACGCTACGCGCATCCACTCCCTCTCTCTCCTCCTCCCTCTGTGCCTCTTGCTTACCACACGGTGGCGGTGCCAACATCCCCAGTACAAGTACGACAACGAGCTGCTGTATTCGGAGACCTACGCCGAAACGACCGCCAGCAACCTCGTCAGCAAGGTACACGCACCTTTGTGGAAGAAGAAGATGATGATGACGACAGTGGCACCGCCTCGCACATCTCCTAACGTCGTGACCGAAACTGCAGTGCGCGATCTTTTATGAACCGCCGGACCCTTGCGACCTGTGCCACCAGCGGCACCCGGCGCGGCGCTATCCATTCCCGCCGCTGACGGCTGTCGATCGCGCCGACAATGCGACGACGACAGCCGCAGCCAGCGCCTCGGCTTCGCGCCAGCCGTACGTGTGGCGCAAGGTGCTTTACCCTGAGAATGGCCTGCTCTACGACCAGCCGCTGCTCGATCTCGATATCCTGAAGCGCGACTACGCCAAGCCTGCAGAAGCGGCCGCCGAGGAAGGCGAAGGCGAAAGCGAAGGCGAGGAACGAGAAGAGCGAGACGACGGAGTGGGCGACGTGTACAAGAGCCTGCGGGTGCTTCGCTGTCTTGGCGATGCGCCTGAGGAAGGGGCCGAGGAGACGATGAGCGAAAGCGAAGACGAGGAGAGAGAAGGCGAAGGCGAGGACCACGAGGCGGAACGAACGGGGGGAAGGAGAAAGCGGTGGCGGGTGGTGGACGGGGTGGAGATCAGCGTGGGGTGGGAGCGCAGCGGGAGGCGAGAGCGCGTGGTGCTCGTCAAGGGCGACTGCGTGATGATGAACGACGAGCAGGGCCGCCCCTACTTTGCGCGCATCGATCGCATCAGCAGCTGCCGCCAGGCGGGAGACGGCGCGTCGGAGCACGACGGGGAGGCGGGGACCGGCGTGTCGCTCACCTGCAGCTACTTCTACGCGGCCCACCAGACGGTCATGGGGCCGGCGGGGCGCAAGATCATGCACGAGCGCGAGCTCTACGCCTCGAACGACGTAGGCCAGCTCGAGCTCGAGTGCGTCCAGGCCAAGGTCGCCGTGCGCTACATCGACAACGTCACCGACTGGAGCGTCATCTGCGGCCACGACCGCGACCGCGACCGCGACCGCGACGCGCTGATGTCAGCTCCAGCGCCGGCCTACTTTTACCGCTACGTCTACAGCGCGGAGACCCACGTTTTCGTCGACGCCAAGCGATGGAGCCGCGGCGACGACCCCACTCAGCAGGACGACGAGGACGAGGAGGGCATCGAGGACTACTTCGGCAGCTACGAGGAGGTGCTCCAGGCCAGGGAGGAGTCGATGAAGCGCTGCGGCCGGTGGTCCGGCTACAACCCCAAACAACACTCACAGCGAATGAAGTACGCATTGCCCATGTGTGGTGGCGCGTGTGCGTGTGCGTGTGCTGATATGTGTCGACAGGACTGTGGTGACGCAGGATGGTGATAGAGTGACGCTGCAGCCGCTATCGAGCACGACCTTCTCGTGGCGCAAGCAGCAGTTCCGGGTGGGTCAAGGCGCCTTCGTGTGGAGCACCCCGCTGGAGCGTACCACCAACCACCAGCCGCTGTGCAGGAGCGTCATCCGCATCGCAGGCTTCTGGATGGACCCGCTCAGCGGCCAGCGCTGGGTTGGGGGCCACACGATGTACCACCACACCGACTCCCGCTTCCACCAGGTCGTCCACAGCGGCCTGCTCATGCAGGCGCGGGCGTCGGCGTCGGCGTCGGCGTCCCACGACCAAAGAACAAAAGCGAAAGCGAAATGGAGGCGTGCGACAAAGAGCGAAGATGAAAGCGAAAGTGAAGACCTTGAAGAGGGGGACAGCGAGGTCAGCGTGGATGATGAAAATTACGTGGATGTGGGTAAGAACGAAGACGATGGCGAAGACGAGGACGAACAGGAAGACGAGGATGAGGAGGACAACGAAGACGACGAGTACGACAGGGGTGAGGAGGAAGAGGAGGATGAGGATGATGAGGAAGAGGAGAGGAGAGGCGGCGAGGGCGAGGAGTCGGAAGGCGCGATACAGCTGCTGTTTCATGTGAACGAGCTGTTCGATTCGACGGATGTCGAGTACTACCCGATGGCCATGCTCTATGAGCCCTGCCGTATCGACTACATCTACGTCGCACCATCGCCCTACTCCGACGAAGAAGACCGAGACCTAGAGGCCGACAACGAAGAGAACGAAGAGAACGAAGACGACGACAACAACAAGGACGACGACGAAGAAGAGAAAGAAAGTGACGAAGGCAATGGGCTGGAGGGGAGGAGGAAAAGCAGAATGAGGAAACGCTCAGCGATGCTGTCTCAGATCGACGCCGAGAGGAAGTTAAAAAAGCGGAGGCTACAAGGGCGCAGCAATTCGAGGTTCCAGCGGGATCGCCGGGCCGTGTGCAAGCGAATCAACAACGAACTGGCGGCTCGCTACCGGGACGCCCGCCGCCGCCCCCCCGCGACAGCAGTTGACGAGCCGAGCTGCACCTTCTTCTGTGCGGAGCGGTTCAACCACGAGACGACCGAGCTCGAGCGGCTGAGCGAGGAGCAGGTGCAGCGCCTCCAACTCGGGGCACGCGGCGTGAAAGCGAAGCCGGATCTGATGGAGGTCGACGACGACTGTCTTCCGGACCGGGGGAGGAAGACCGACGACGACGAGGAGGAGAAGAAGATGTCTGCGTTCGACCTCTTTTGCGGCTGCGGCGGCATGTCCATTGGCCTCCAGATGGCCGGCGTTGATGTCAAATGGGCTGTCGGTACGTCATTCTTCCGCATGACACGACAACGCACGACACATAACCACTTGTTTTTATCGTCATCATCATCATCATCATTGTTGTTGTTGTTGTTGTTGTTGTTCAACACAGATAACGACGCGCACTGCATCGAGACCTATCGTCGCGCACATCCAGAAGCGCGGGTCTACCATCGTGACGCGTGGGATATCCTACACGCAATGAAGGAGGGCTTGGATGACACTCTGCCCAAGCCTGGCGAGGTGCTCATCTTGTCGCTCTTACTTTCATGTCTTATGGAGTCTCACAAATCACTCTAGGTCGCGCTTCTGTGTGGTGGGCCACCATGCCAGGGTGCGGCCCACCAAAGCCGAAACCGTTCACTCTCTCATCCTCAGAATAGGTAAGTGTTATGGTGCGCTGATGAAGAATGGTTTGGTCTGACCAACAGCACAACAAACAGGAACATCAACCTGTTCCTGCAGTTTGTCTGGCACCTGAGGCCAGACTACGTTCTGATGGAGAATGTGATGGGCCTGGTGACCCTCAGCAAGGGCTACCTTGCCCGCAGTGTGGTCACACACCTGCTTCAGCATGGCTACCAGGTCTGCATGGCCTGTGTGCAGTGTGGGCAATATGGGCTGGCCCAAGACAGGTACTACACCTGCACACAACACAGACACACAGACACACACTCTCACTTGCTTGTCAATGCAGGTGGCGCTTCTTCATGATAGCTGCCCCTCAGTCTCAGCAGCTGCCACACTTCCCACGCCCAACACACTCAATTCTGTCATGGGTGGCAAGCAACACCCAGGTGACCCAGCTCTCAGCTGACCTCCAGTGCCTGGTATGGAACTCTTTTCCTACCATCTTCCCACCACTCACTGTCTTTGACACCATTGGCGACCTGCCTGCTGTCCTGGAAGAGAAGGAAGAGGATGAGAAGGAAGGAGAAGAGAAAGTGAGAGAGGGAAGAAGAGGGACAGAAGGGCTTAGAACAAGAGAGGTAGAAGTGGCAGGAGAGGTGGAAGACCTCAAGATAGGACTAGAAGAGGGCAGGCTGCCCTACTACTGCCCTCCCTTCCTCCCCTATCAACAACTCATGAGGGAGGAAGGGAGTAGCATGGTTGTGTACAACAACCAGTCCACAACAAGGCAGAACATGGAGCACCAGGCACTCAGCTGGCAAGGTAAGTTCCACACAATCAAAACAACTCCAGATGTGGAACGAGGCCAAGTGCTCCATCCCCTTGAAGCTAGAGTTATAAGGTATATCAACATCAATTTTGAGTGCTAGTCCTTTTTCTTACCTTGTGAAAAAGTGTGAGGGAGTGTGCTAGGGCACAGAGCTTGCCTGACTATGTGCACCTCAGTGGCTCCCTTGCCACCCAGTATCACCAAGTTGGCAATGGTATGTTTGCATTTAGTGACTGCTTTGCAAATTCAAACTAACCCACTCATTTCCTCTCAATTAGCTGTGCCCCCTCTGGTGGCCAAGGCCATTGGTTCAAAAATATTGTCTGTGTGGCAGGCTCAGCCAAGGTGAGCCCAATATTTTTTCAAAAAAAGGGCATACCAAAAGAAAATAAAAGGGAAAGAAAGGGGAAAATCGTTGGAGCAAGGCCAAAAGCATCAAATAAAAGATGAAGCCAATGGAGCGCATCAAGGCGCGCCAGCGGCTCCAGTCGGCCCCTGCCTTTTCGTCAAGCCTCCTCCACCCTCATGCCCATACAACTCGACCTTGCACCCTATGTGGAACGTGCGAGGTGAGCCCCTGCTGTGCCTCCTGCAGCAAACTGTACGCCCCCCAAAACCCCACCAACAAAGGCTTCGTGGCGGTCTTGCTTCTTTTTTGTGATCTTGTATCGATGGCTCACCTCTCCTTCCCTTTCCCGGTGTGTGTGCGCTCTGCTCTCGGCACCAGGACGAGCAAGTGGAAGCGGGTGGACATCCCCCTGTTGGTCAACAAGTACAGAAGGGCGCAGGCGGACAACGCCGCCATGCAGAACCGCATCGAGGAGCGAATCACGGCCCAGCTGCGGCACCGCGAGCTCCTCATGCGCAAGCAGGTGCTCCTCCTCCGCGTCCAGAAGGCCCGCGAGCGCGTCGCCGAGCACGCCCAGTGGATGGAGCGAGGTACCACCGCACGCGATCTCGCACTCTTCTTCTTCTCTCTCTCTCAGGCGAAACGCATGACACACAACACACACAACACACACACACACACACACACTATGCGCATATGTAGAGAACAGGCGGGTGCGAGCGCAGCGGCAGCAAACGCAGGAGAAGATGAAGCATCTGAAGCAGGCCATCTACAACCTGGAGAACAGCAAGAACAGCCTCCACAACGACAGCCTCTACAAGTCGGGTCTGCTCGAGCAGCGGAAGGAGCTCGCCCTCATCCGAAGCCAGCTCCTCGACAAAAAGAAGGAGCTCGTCTTCGAGGTACGCACGCCCATGTGGTGTTTGGTGATGAATCCTCGCGTTGACCATTTTCTCTCCCGCGCACGCGCACGCGCACGCGCCACACGACGCACACGGACACCGCTGCACAGCTGCTTACGATATTGCCCATCCTACCGGTGAACGACCAGCAGTGCCGGGTCATCAACATCGTGCTCCCCAACAACGGTACACACACACACTTCCCTGTCGCCGTCCCGGGGGAGGAGGTGGTGGTGGTGGTAGTGGTGGTGGGGCTCTCTTCCGCGCTCCACTTCGCGCTTCTCTTCCCAATCCAAGCCCAACCCACCACGTACGCCTAACAAACACGCGCCCTCCCCTTCGCAGGAGACTACGCGAGCGTGCCTCGCGGGGTTCTGGCAGCGGCCCTCGGGTACGCTCGCCCCTCCCTGCCCCCACGGTTGGTTGGTTGGTTGGTTGGTTGGTTGGTTGGTTGGTTGGTTGGGGAGGCTTCGACTTGGCTGTCACGCTCATCTTCGTGTGGGCATCGTCATCACCATTGGGGGAGAGCAGGTACGTGGTGCACATCGTGAAGATGATCGCCGGCTACCTGGGCGTGGTGCTGCCCTTCCGCATGGAATCGCGGGGCTCGCAGTCCATCATCTACAAGGAAGGCTCCTCGTACGTACCCCTCCCCCATCCCCACAAAACAGATTCAGCTTCGCAAGGTGTGAGGGGGGCGTTGCCAGTACCGCTTGCTCATTGCTCTACTCTCTTCGCTCGCGGTCATGCGTGGGCCACAGCACCAAGTACCCGCTCTACTTGCAATCCAACGAACGCGAACTCTGGACGGCCGTCACCGCCCTCAACATCAACGTAGCCTACCTGTGCGCCTCGCAGGTAAGCAAGGGCGTGAGTGCTCGCCCCCCCCCCATGGGAATGTAGAATGGGGTGGTGATGATGGTGGTGGTGCTGACCAACGGCAAACATCATCGTATACATCAACTGGGCGACCAGGGGTTTCTGCCCGGCAAGCACCAGATCCCACAAACCCTCCTCAACCTGCGGCGGCTCCTTCAAAGCCCCAACCTCGGCGCGTACGTACTCCCACCGCGCGTCGCGTTCTTCCCGATGCCGCCATCGGCTCGGGTGCGTGGCGTGCGTGAGTGCGTTGTCTTGGCTGATCGTGGGGTGGCTCCTGTCTGGTCGATGGCTATGATGATATCAGGGACACGCCTCCGCGCAAGTGGCACGGACTCGGGCGCGATAAGCAGCAGGCCGAGAAGGACCCCACCCTGGGCGACTGGGAGTTCATTTGAATGGGGGGGGGGTTCTATGTGTAAATAAGTTTTTGACTCTTCACCTCAACCCCCCCCCAGGGCAACGCTGGGTGTGGGGCTTAGTGGGTCTCGGAGGAGGCGGTCTTGGAGTGGCCGTAGTAGCGCTTCTTGACGCCGTGGTTGTGGTTGCGCAGCTCAGACTCGTACTCGATGGCCTTGGCAGCGATTTTCTTGGGCTGCGGGAAGGTAAATTAAAAAAAGGATTGCGGCAATTGAACGGAAATGCTTTGGGGGGGTACCTCGCCCAGGATAAGCTTGAAGCCGGCGTACGTGCCCATAGGCACCGTGGTGAGGAAAACGCCCATCACGGTGAGGGCGGGGAGGAGTTCCCACGAGTAGAAAAGTCCATACGCCTTGCTCATTTTGCCTTGCTTCTGTTTTGTATTTTGTCAATCTCGTTCGGCCACTTTTTTTTGTCTCTGGAAAAGCCAAAGGAAATGTTCTTTTCAGTTTAGAATAGTTTAAATTTTGCGGGCAAGGCCATAGAATAGGCCTACTCTGCAACCTCTTTATTGTTCAGTTGTAATAGCGTTGCTTCTTGCCATAGTTGTCGTTGCTGTATGACTTGCTGCCGTACGACTTGCTACCGAACGACTTGCTGTAGTTGCTGCCGTACGAACTTTTGTTGCTGGTGGTGTAGTAGGAAGTGCTCGTGGAAACGCCCTGGAGTACCTCCTTCTCCTTGGCTGCAGGGCTGATGTCGAGCGGCTTGCCCTCTCTCTTCGCGCCCTCGTCGTACTCAGCAATCACGAATCGCGGGACCTTCTGGCCCGACTCCACCACGCCCTGGCACTTGGGCGCCACGCACGAATAACGCTCCTCCCGGTCGCACTTCCGATAGAACTCGACCACCTCCTTACTCACCATAGCGTGCCTATCGTGGAGATGGTGCACACAACGCACGACACGTGTTGTAAGTCAATCGCACGCAAGCGCGTAGACGATCAGGCGTGTGCGCACTCTTTGCGGAAGCGGTCGCGGAGGCAGAGGCCCTCGAGCGTGCGCACGCGACTGAGCGCGACGTAGGCCTGGCCCGAGGCAAAGATTCGACTCAGCGACTGGATCTCCACGCGATCGAGCGACAGACCCTGTTCCCCGCTCGTGCGTCAGTGCGTGCTCTCGCCAAGTTTGTGTGCGATGCGTGTGTGCACCGTGCGTTTTGTAATGTACGCGTACCTGGCATTTGTGGATGGTGACGGCCCAGGCCAGCTTGAGCGGAACCTGGCACCTCGACGCCTCGTGCTCTCGACCATGCTCCCGGTATTTCACTGGAGAAATGGAAAAGCGAAGAAGAGCGAAGAGCGAAGAAGAACGGAACGCAGTTGTCAGCTCAGTTGTCAGCCGGACCGCACATTGAGAGGACGCGCAACGCACCGCTGAACACCATAGGACCAATGATGATCGGTTCGGTCGTGCCTACGAAGCGAACACGGGGCAGCCTGGCGAAACAACAACAACAAGCGTGGTGGGTGCGGTGAGAACCAGGAGGAGTTGTTACAATCCTGAGTTTCAAACGCGCGCCCGGCGGGCGTGAAGAGACCGAGGGTGGGATCACGCGTGGTACTACGCACTTGGTTTTGCTGTTCTCGCTGAACCACTTGCGCTGCTGCCACGAGTTGTACATGTACTTCGCGGGAACCGTTGACGAGCTCAGACGAGAGGTTTTTGATCAGCATCACCTGCGCATCTAGCCCATGCCCACGACGAGAAAGTGAGTGAGAACGCAGTGTGTGCGGTGAATGCGTGTACATATTACCTATCTTGAGCTCGACGTGGTTGAGTGCGATGCAGCCCTTCTCGAGCCAGTTGAGCAGTATCCTGCGCGGCCCGTCTTCGGAGGGCACATCGTCTTTGCCGGGGTACTTGACGGGAGCGCTCCTGATGCCGTTGATGTGCACCCGGTTGATGTTCTCCACCTCGTAGTTGGTGGGGCACAGCTTGGTGGGCAGAATGTTGGAGCCATCGTCCAAATTGCGCATCAGACATCTTGTTGTTCGCAGAGAACATACCGCACACGCACGGCACACACGCATCACCGCACACGCACATAAGGTGAGCACACGTCGGAAGGGATGTGGAGTTGGGCGGGTGTTCTGCACTCGTTCAAGGTCGATGCGGCGTCATCTGAGCATGTGCCCTGCCTGATGCCGTTCAAGATCGCTTGGAATCTGATGTGTTGGGTGAACACTCGTGTCAACGCACGACACACATGCCTACTCGCGATGCAAGCATAAGACGCACGCACGCACGCACGCACGCACGCACGCACGCACGCACACGAACCGCTCGTCCTTCTGTCGGAACACCTCGGTCAGCTGTACAACGGTGTCGATACACGATGGCCACGATTCGGCGTTGAACGCAAACACCTTGTTCTCGTCCCCTCCGCGCCGGCCCAGCATCTTGTCCACCACCGGCGGAAGCTACGCACATGATCCCCCCCGCCCCCCGACGTCGAGCGGTTTAGACTCAAGGTCGACAGTTGTTGGAATGTCGCATGTGTCGCGTTGTATGTCGTGTGTTGCGTGTTGCGTGCTGCGTGTTTCGTCGTGCGTCGTGTGTCGCGTACGCACCTGGAAGAAATCGCCGCAGCAGATGACCTGAAGGCCGCCGAAGGGCTGTTCCTTATGTGGCTCGTTGTACCAGTTGCGCACGCGCCGCGCGATATACTCGACCTTGTCAAACAGATCGGCAGATATCTGGACAATAAACAAGAAACAAGAAATTTTGAAGACAGGTGAGCAAAGAGTTGCAAAATAATAAATATGCGAGGCGATACCATGCTGATCTCGTCGATGATGAGTACTCGGGCCTTCTGCCACTGCTCCTTCTTGCCAAAGGCGCGGCGGATCATGACCGCGATGCTCTCGTCCCCGAGTCCGATCCCCGTCCACCGGTGCAGCGTCACACCGCCGATATTGCACGCAGCCACTCCTGCGCAAAGGCCAGAACCGCACACGCGACACACGACACGACACGACACGACACGACACACGTAAGTCAGCTCAGCCTCAACTCGTATCACATAATGGGGAGGGTGGCCGAACCGGTGGAGGCGGTGACGGCGACGGCGTCCGGGTCCCGGTGGATACGGCGGAGGCGCTTGAGGATGTGGCCCAGGAGGAAGGACTTGCCCGTGCCGGCGCAGCCCGTGAGGAACATCGAGTGGCCGCTCTCGGCCAGGGCCAGCGCGCGCCGCTGCTCCGCGCTCAGCACCACGTCGTCGTCATCGTGGTCCTCTTCGCCGTCGCTATCAAAGGGAGCCTCCAGCGAGGCCGCCACCGCCACCGCCACCGCCAGCGGCGGGGAGACCGGCACGGCCGTGCACGACGGCGGCAGTGGCGGCGGCGGCGGCGCGTCGGTGGTGTAGCGCATTCGCTTGGGGACCGGCTGGTCGACTGGGCTGCGCACCGGCGAGTCGGAGATGTCGACGGTGGAGCCCACTGTGGGCATTGACGGCGGCAGCGCTCGGCGCACAGGGAACGCGGGAACGTAGCTCTGCACCCAGTCGGCGACGAAGAGCGGCGGAAGCGGTAGCGGCGGCGGTACCGTCGTCGTCATCGTCGTAGCCGGTCGGTACGTGTAATTAAAGTTCGTCGTTGGGGTGGTGCTTGCGACGACCACCACGTCGTCGACCGGCTCGGGCTCGCCGACCAGGTCGATGAAGATCGTTTCGGGCAGTCGGGGCTGGGGCTGCTCTCCCACCAAGTCGATTATAGCACTGTCTGCCTGTGGCGGAGGAGGGCCGCAGGACACGACGTCACACCTATTGTACCACGGTCAGAGGCGCGCAAGCCACAGGGAGCGCGAACGGGGCTGAAGGAGAGGCGAAGAGAAGACTCCAAGAGAAGAAGAACGTAGGAAGGTACCCGTTCAAGAACTGAAGAGCTTCGCTGACGTTGGTGAAGCCCTTGAACAGCGCACCCGGGTAGCCGTCCACTTGGGCCTTGCATTCCTCCCTGCTCAGGCCAAACACCCAGCGCTTCCAGTAAGTTGCTACGTGCCCTGCATCCTCCTCTCGATTGAATTGCAGATCTGATTTGAAGGAGAAATGGGCGTGAGGTGTACCAGGTGGTGTAGATGCCGATTCTTCGTCCTCGCGCGACAACATAGTATGATTTCCGTGTTGCCTTTCCCATCTCGCCTCCCAGTGAACTGACGAGGAGTGCCCCTTTCTTTGGGTTGTGTTTGTGGTCAGGAAAAAGGCGCCAAACTCGTAACGAGTGTATGGCCATTTAATTGGTTTTTTTTTCAACGGCTCTCACTTGAGCGTGTTTGTCAAGTGAAGAAGATCGTGGTGAGACAACGAAGAACTCGGCCGCATCAACAATTCGGCTGGCTGTTGTATTTTCAAAATGAAATAGAGAGGTGGCGGGAGTCGTGAAGCCAAAATTGCAGAGGCGGTACGCCGTGCAAGGAGCGTCGTCTTCTAGCGGGAGAGAGGGTGAAGAGAGAGATATCTACAACCCGCGCGCGAGAAAGGTGGCGAGGGGTGAGAAGAAGAAGAAGAAGAACGGGCACTGGGCGAGAAGGGTCCGGGTGTGAGCGAGGCACAGCTACGGAGGTCCGCCGGCGTGCTTGAGGCTCATGTGCCCGCACACGCAGATCCACGACGCCGACGGCTGCGGCGTGAAGGCATTGCACGTGCAGTTTCCCGTGCGACACCTGTGTCGTGTGCGGGGGGAGTGGAGGCTGTCAGGCCAAAGGCGCGAGAGTGAGTGGCCAGTTGTTTGGGAGGCGTACGCCAGCCGTCGTCTGGGGGAGGTGGCGGGGCTGACCAGGCCCTCGCCGTTGCGCGGAGAGAAGGGGCCGGCCGGGCGCGACGGGGAGCGCGGGGAGGTGAGTGAGGGGAAGGAGTTGTGGAAGCTGCGCGGCGTCTGCGAGAGCGTGTGCGGGTGCTGCGGCAGCACCACGCCGCCCGACGTCGCGCCGATGCCGTAGTGGTAGCCCGGCCGCGGTGACGTCCCTCTGGGCGACACCGACGCCGACGCCGGCGCCGACAGCGACGCGGATCCCGACGACGGCGTCGCTGTCAGTGACGTTGATGATGTTGATGATGAAGAGGACGTGACGCCGACGGCGGTGGAAGAAGAGGTGGGAGACGAGGGCTGGAGAAGGAGGGCCATGGCGGCGTGCTTGTCCTGGAGCGCGCGGTGCTGCGCGCTGATGGTGTCGAGGGCCTCGCGGAGGTGGCGGATCGTGGCGGCGTCCCGCTCCGCGCGCTCCTCGAGGGTCACCAGCGCCTCGCCGGCCAGATCCATCCGTTCCCGCAGGCCCTTGTTCTCCGCCACCAGCCGCTCCACCAGCCCCAGTGTCAGGTCTGCACCCCACCACCAACCAATCAGCACCATCACAAACAAACCAACTGGCCAACCAACGTCTGACGCTGACGTCAGGGTGTGAGGCAT